CTCCTTCACACAATCCATTTCTTCTCCGCTGGCAGTGTTGGGGACCACTCTGTCTTTAGAACCTCTCTTGGCAGAAGTAGTTCCTATAGTGAACATGGTGGACTGTTTTTTTTTTTTAATTTCACATGTCTTGTGTCACCCTATGCCCCATTAAAACCTATAATGAGAACTGATCAGGTCATCTGTATTAGTAATGGAATGTTTTTGCTGTAACTGTCTATTTGAAATTGATACTGGTAGCTAACATGGAAATTGTAGTCAGATAAATCGTGAGCAGTGATCTGGAGTTGAAATAAAGAGAAACACAGACCTGGGCTCCTTGGGGACAAGCTTTTGCATCTTCTGATTTTTTTTTTCTTTCTTTTTAATCTTAAAACCATTTGTTGAAATTCTTTAAATCTTTGTGTTTGTCTGGTTTTCCTCAGTGTAATAAATGACATCTACTATGTGAACATGTCATCAGGTATCTTTCCATTGTCTCACTGCACCAAATATGGTGGTTTCTCTTTTGTGGTTTTTGGTGGTGGTGTTGTTTGGGGTTTCGTTTTGGTATCAGGGATCAAACTCGGGGACACTCAACCACTGAGCCACACCCCCAGCCCTCTTTTGTATTTTATTTAGAGACAGGGTCTCACTGAGTAGGTTAGTGCCTTGCTAAGTTGCTACGGCTGGCTTTGAACTTGCAATCCTCCTGCTTCGGCCTCCTGAGCCGCTGGGATTACAGGTATGCGCACCACACCTGTCTGATGGTTCTTGACATCAGTGTAAAGGCTGATTTCAGGGCACGGCACCATCCGAGTGTCCTCAGCTCATGCAGAGAGGGACTCTCTCGGCTTTGGAGAGCAGTGTTTTTAAATGCGTGCTGTGTGCTTTTTCATTGTGCTAAAGGCATAGCTGGAACCAGAGAGCTGGTATAGGTTGGCTCTGAGGTGCAAGAGGAGCTCTGAAAGGAAGCATGAGCCCTCATGGGACAGTGGAGATGTTTCACTTAAGGAACAACATGTTTTAATACTTCAAAGAGTGATTTTTTTTCTTTCTTCTTTTTAAAAGTTATTTTAAGTTCCCTAATCCAAACCATCCCCAGCTTCCATGAGGGTTGAGACATGATTGCATTTTTATCCCACTATAGAAAAAATTAAGATAAAAATCTGTGGGGCCAATAATTCAGAACCATGACAGTTTTGAAACAGTAGTCTTGAGAAAAATGAAATGTCTTCAAGTTATATCTATAGAAAATCAAAATTCAGTCAAACATGATATTCTTTAATTAAAACCCCTTTGATAATTTCTGCATTGCTCTTTGATATTGAGCTTCTTATTCTGGAATTATTTTTTAAAGCAGATTAGCTGAACTTTGAAGTGTTTGAAACATAGGGGTGACTTAGTCTAATGCATCGCGGCATACACGTTGACAGCTAAAGGGAAACGGTGAAAAGGCATCTTTCTCTGCTCATTTTTTMTTTCGATTTCACTCTAAACTCCTTGCAGATTTATTAAAGCCACTGAAAGGTAACTCATTCTTAAGTTCTGAGTGGGGCTCAAAGGGTGATTTTTCACTGTATACTCTAGCTTAGTTCTTATTAACATTTCATATCATAATGCTGGTTTTAATGTTAGCACTCAGCTAATGGCTGATGTGTCCCTGGTGATTCACATATGCTGTCTCACCTGATCTTGTCTACAGTCTTCAGAAATAAGTGTTTTTAATCTCACTTGCAACTCAGGTGAAATTAGTTATAGCTAGAGGTGGATCCTTACCTTGGGTCTCTGGAGCAACAGGGATTCCCATGCAGGTGGGTGGTTTGGGAGGCCTCCCAGAAGGTAGGAGGAGGTCGTGGGGAGAGTGAGAGGAAGGAGAAACCAACAAAAGGAAGCATTGTTGAAGGTGCTGAAGAGCCAGAGAGCATTTGTCATGACTCCAGGGTCTCAAGAAGTGTTGAGAGGGATCTTGGAATCATACCACTGAATCAAGGGAGACCAGGGTTGGATATACTGACCTCTCTCACCCACTGGCCAAGAGCTGCCTCACTTCCCCAGAACTTCAGGGTATGCTGAGATCCTCTAATCAGAAAAGCACCGTGGTACCTGGACATGGTTTGAGGTAGAGGTGCAGGGGTAGCTCCCACACAACTACCTTCTATGGTGTCCCTGAGGGTATGTGACAGGAGACCCAGCGTTCTGTTAAAAGGACAGAACCCAGCTTGGACTGACTCCCAAACCTGTGTTCCTTCCTCTGCGACAGACCATCTTCCTGTAAACACAGATGGGAGGTGGAGGATGACCCAGAAATGTAGTAGGGCACACACACGAGCTGTTAACAGTATGAGGAGAACACACCGGGGAAACATGTATGTCATTCTATGTAATTAAGGAGTTTGCCCTCCTAGTTGTGTTGCTTCAGGTAACATTAATTTGTATTCCTTGCATAGATTACAGTAAAGAAAATAATCCAGAATATTCCAATAATTAGACACCATCCCTGATTTGAGATTAAAAAAATTCCAGCCAGGCACGGTGGCACACATCTATAATCCCAGAGGCTCAGGAGGCTGAGGTAGGAGTATCCCAAATTCAAAGCCAGCCTCAGCAACTTAGTGAGACCTTAAGCTACTAAGCGAGACCATGTCTCAAAATTTAAAAAAAAAAAAAAAATGTTTTTTAAAAGGGCTGAAGATATGGCTCAGTGGTTAAGCACTCCTGAGTTCAATCCCTGGTACCAAAATAAACAAGCAAACAAAATAAACTCCATTACTGAGTTTTCAGGTCTGTCATGTATATAGGAATATGTTGTGCTCAGGAGTTGTAGTGGTAGGAAATTGAGGGGTGTGGGGGACAAAGGCAGATTGCATGGGGCCTCTTAGGCCACTGTTCATTTTACAATCTGCTGTTTTGTTAAAAACCATCTACTAACATCCAGAAGATGTTGACACTCCCCAGAGGTGTGCTAGAGGGGACATCACTGGGCCCTGTTCTCCCCAGGACAGTCAGGCTGCTGAAACTTTGTGCTGATACCTAGAGGTTCTGGAGTCACCCTGCCCTCTTGCTGAACTCCACCAAGCACAGTGTCACCACAGAGTAGGTGTTCTGAAACCTTGAGTTCTGGAAAAAAAGAACTCGAGTGCCTTTCTAGGGTCTTCAGCCACCCAGAGCCAGGCAGGGGCTGGAGTTCCTACCGACAGATTGTTGGAGGAAAATGCCACATTGCTGTGTGATAGATCACCACAGACTGAGCCACTGAAAATAGTACAAAGGTTGCAGCTCCCAGCCTAGGCTCCAAGTCCAGGCCTGGTTTGACTGGGCTCTCTGCCCGAAGTCTCAAGGGACTGGAGTGAGGGTGTCCCAGAGTGTGTCTTTCTGGAGGCCATGGAGCAAAACCTGCTCTCGGCTCATGCAGGTTGTTGCCAGAGTCCCAGTTCTCCTCGAAGTTGTGGCACCAGGGCATGCCAGCAGGGGACTACTCTCAGACCCTGGATGCCACATAATACCGGCCACATGGACCCACCATTGTCAGCACCAGCAACTGAGAATGGACCCGTGTCAAATCTTTCTTGGGCTTCTCTCTGTCCAGGAAAAGCCCTGTCCTCTAGGAAAGCCTGGATGGATCAGCCTCACTCAGACACTCCCCCTTTAGTGAAGTCACAGGGCTCAAATCCAGCAYAGTCACAGTACTGGGGCTTATGCAGGGCCAGCACATCAGGGAGCAGAGGTCTGGGTGACCTTAGGATTCTGCCCAAACCCTGTGTGAAGTACATAGGGCTTAAGGTCCCAAAGCCCTTTGTACTTCATATAGTCTAGAAATAACCCTTGACCCAAACAGGGAGAATAATGGCCCTGATGTCATTTTTATATTCTCCATATGTGGCTTGAGGAAAGGTCAAACCCCAAGGAAATATTTATCAGCTGGTATACTGGGATTCTCCATTAAGGTTGGTCATTTAGTAGTTTTTCTGCCTGTTACTGACTCGGGCCTAATTTGAAGGGCTGCCGTTCACTTTTGTTCTGAAGTTCTTCCACGTTAGTTCATTAAATTTTCATACCAAAACTGGGTTAATATGTTTATCCCAGATTTCAGATGAGAAAGGTTAGCTGACGTGTTAGCTAGGTTATGTGTTTGAGAAACAGCAAAGCCAGGCCCACACACTCTCTAACATACCACAGTGGCTACATTTTTTTTCCAGTTTTTTTTATTGCAGTGAAACAGGTGTAATAGTTCATCCTCTTACCCGTTTTAAGTGCATCAGTGGTATTAAATGCATTCATAGTGTTGTGCAGCGACCACCACCCTCCAGAGCTCTTTTCAGAATTAAAACTCTGTACCATTAAACACTTTCCCATTCCTCCCTCCCTCCACCTTCTAGAAACCACCATTCTACCCTGTCTCTGGATTTGATTACTCTAGGCACCTCACAGAGCGGGAAATGAGACAGCACTTATCTCTTTGCAGTTGGCTTATTTTACTTGGTGTAAAGGTTCAGAGGCTCCAAGGTTTATCCACATTGTAGCCTGTGTCAGAATTTCCTTCCTTTTTAAGACTGAAGAGCATTCCATTAATACATTCTTACTCTTAATATTCGAGCCTACTATCACCAGGCACTGAGCTTGGTTACAAGATATTAAAATGAGTACATCACAGTCCTTCAGGAACTCCAGGATTTTACCTTTTATATTGTAATTTATAAATCATCTACAAAAGTTTGAACACAGTGATGCAGGTTGTTCAGGAAGGAGCCACAGATTCCACTTGAGTTAGCCCAAGGATTACCTGAGCATTAGGTCCTGAAACGTGAGCAGCCGCTTATCTCTGAAGAGTGGGGAAAGGTCATTCCATCCGAGGGATCAGTGAAGGCCAAGTGCAGCAGAGAGGTTGGGGCAAAGAGGAACTGTCTGTGCAGTCAGGTGCCAGCCCACCTCAAAGCCATGAGCACTGTCCACACAAGGGAGGGCGACTGTTTCCCATCTAGTCCCTTTTCAGCCCTAACAGAGTCATTCTGCTTCCCCAGCTGAACTGGATGCTGAGCACACGCAGAAGGTCCTGGAAATGGAGCACACCCAGCAAATGAAGCTGAAGGAGCGGCAGAAGTTTTTTGAGGAAGCCTTCCAGCAGGACATGGAGCAGTACCTTTCCACGGGGTACCTGCAGATTGCAGAGAGGCGCGGTGAGCTGGMGCTTGCGGGTAAAGCCTTGGAAGTCCCTTTCTAGTAATAGACCCTGAAATCCAAGCATCGAGATCAGGCCATATCCATCTTGCCCTTGTTCTTCCAGTTCTAGGTTCTAGTTGAAGATTTCAAGAATAAATAACCTTTTAAAATTACAAACCAATTATGCTCATACAAAATTTGAAGGGAAAGAAAGAAAGAAAATTGCTTTCCTTGCAGTGCTGGGGATTGAGTCTAGGGCCTAGCACAGGGCAGACCATGCTGAGTTACAGTCACATCTTTAGCCAGAAAAACACTTTTTTAGAATGAAAAAKACAAATTATTCATAATTCTATAGCATAGGGTAAGATCTACTAATATTTTAGTATTGTTCTTTTTGGTCTTTGTTCATGAGTCTGTTCGTAATTGGTATCAAACTATACGTCTATGTGGCTTTGTATCTTGACTTTTTTTTTTTTCCTGGTACTATGGATTGAATCCAGGCAGGAATCCATGGAGCTACATCCTCAACTCTTTTTAAAATTTTTTTGAGACAGAGTCTACTCAGGCTGGCTTTGAACTCGTAATCCTCTGGATTCAACCTCCCAAGTAGCTGGAATTCCTGGCATATACCACCGCACCCAGTTCTCTGAATTTTCTCAATATTGTATAGGGCTCTCTTCCTCATTATTAAAAATTCTTTGAGGACTGGACATGTAGCTGGGAGAGAGAGAGAGAGAGAGAGAGAGAGAGAGAGAGAGAGAGAGAGAGAGAATGAATGTGTGTGTGTGTGTGTGTATGTGTGAGTCTTAGCATGCATGAGACCTCAGGGCTCAATCCTGGGGAACAAAAAAAAAGTTATTTGAAAGGATGTGTTTTAAAGGGTACATATTAATCATCAGGATGCATCCTAACATGGCCCCTCACTGTCCATGAGGAATCAGTCCCAAGACCCAYCCCCACACACACTGCCAAAATCTGTGCATGCTCAAGTCTCTTATATAAAATGTGTACTATTTGCATATAACCTGTGCATTCCTCTGGAATCATCTTGAGGTTTAAATCATGTCGGGTTACCTAGGATATAAATGACTGCTGTGTGCAGAGTTGTACCATGTTGTTTAGAGAATAATGTCAAGAAAAAAAAGTCTGTATGGTTCAGTGCAGATGTACCCATTGGAGGCCTATCTACATTTTTCCACCTGAGGTTGACTATGGAGAATGAGGTTATGGAGGGCCCACTGTATTTAATCAATTCCCTGGTTGAACATTTAGATTTTTTTTAACCTCTTTAATCAGTGCTGTGAGACATCCATATGCTTAAATGAATAAGTCAACCAGGGTGGAAGTGAGGACACAGGACTCTTTCCACTGGCTGCCCCAGGAGCAGTGGCCAGGTAGGCAGGGCAGTGACTTCAGGCAACTTGTTCTCTCCAGCAGGTGCCATGGTCCCAGAGCCTAATGCCCAGGGCACATGGAAGAGAGCATGTGCTTCCCTGTCCCTCTGGGCACCTCAGCACCTCCTGGAGATGTTCCTCTCCAGATCTCTCAGTGCCCCACCCCCAACATGCCCCCTCTGTCTGGCTTTGTTTCTTCTTTGACATCCAATTCCCTGTCCCCTCCCAGAGAGGATAAAGAAATGAATGAAGGAAAGTGATGTAGAGAGAATAGATTATAGCTCTGTTGGGTGCCTCAGGCTGTGCTAACGGAAGTGGGTGATCAGTGACGCAGTTGGTGCTTTCCACGCTGGAGCTGATGGGACAGGGTCTGGAGTGTGGCTTCTCTAGCTCCCTGGTCAGCTTCTTCCCGTTTTACCCATTGACCTAGAAAGTCAGACTGCCCAGCTCAGGTGCCTGAGTGCTGTGCAGAGCAGCTGCCTGGCTCCTTGGGGAGGAAAGAGAGGCTCCCTTCAGGCTGCTTATCCTGTCATGGACACTATCATGGCAGGTGCTGTGGACTAGGTGTCCTCAGAAGTGGATTCCTTCCAGTACTAGAGGGCTGTATGTGGCTTCTCGTGTCCTGGCTTAGCTGCCACCTCACTGTGGGGGCATGCACCCTGGTGTCTTATGAGGGCACCTTATGTCTTTCTCTTGCTGGGTCCCAGTCAGACTCCGACTGACCTTATCTCCCAAGGGCCCTATCTCCATGCGCACTCATTGGGGGTTGCAGCTTCAACTAGTGAGTTTTGAGGGCACACAGTTACTCCATATAGATACGCACACACTGGGCAACCTGAGATTCGAACATAGTGGGACACTGCAGCAATGCCTCAAGTCATGGGGGAGATGGGATGAAAAAACTGTCACCAAAACTCTCACTGCCCAACCATTTAACTCCACCCTGTTCAATTTTGTTGAGCACATACTAGCCCATGGGAGACAAAGAGGAAATGAAATGAGAGTGCACCAAGCAGCGCCTGTTCTCACAGGGAAACACATGGGCACGCAACCAGGTGGCCCATGGGGCAGAAGCTGCTGGGCTCCGAGCTCTTTTGGTGGTCAGTGTACCCTGGAGACAGGCCCTGGGCTGTGGATGTGGCAGCCTCCATGCCTCAGCACAGGTCTGTAGGGAGAAGGGACGTAGTGAACCCTTGTGGGACAAATGTCAGTTAAATATTAAGTGGTTGAGTTTTTGTGGTTTTGAGCCTCTCAAGAATAATTTTCTTCAAGCTTCAAGAAAGTGTTTGGCTCATTTAAGGTTAAAACTAAATGGAACCAGGCCCATGTTGCCAATGCACTGAAGGAGAAAGTGGCAGGCCATGCCCCTGTCGGCTCTGTGCCTCAGCTAGAGCTGCAGAGGCCTTGCCACAGGGCACACAGAGCCTGCCTGACAGTCACCCGCCCTTTCCTATAGAGGGATTTTCATCCCCAGAGATGAATATGGGGAAGTTTTAGAAGAATCAATCAAAATTAAAAATTGCTACAGTGAACATGGGATTTTGGACTCACTCCACTGAATCAGAAATAGCAGTCTGAATTTTTTTTAACTTTCAAAAGCATCATTTTTTAATTAAGACAAAGCTATGGAAAATTTTATCCAGAAAAAATTTCAGAGTAAAGCGCAAATGCCCATCATTGAGCAGTTGGAGCATGGTGGGGCTGTGGGAGCCCATGGAGCCAGAGGTGGGTCCCGGGACTGAGCTGCCACAGACACGCAGTGTGCTGGCGGGACCCCGGTGTGCTGGGCACATGAGGTGCTCTGTAAGGGCCTGGACCAGGTTTGATCTCTGTGCCTGACATGATCTGAGTCTTAGAAAAGCACTGTTATTGCTTTGATTCTGTGCTGAGTGCCTCAGGGCCAGACAGGGCAGTAGTTATGTACCTGTGTCCCTTGGCTCCCTGTTCCCACAGATTGCAGGTTCCTGTGGCTGTCCGCTGACTGCTGGTCAGCAGGGTTGAATCCCCTGGAGCCAGGGTGCCCTCTACCTATGGAGGCTGGCTTGGCCTTGGCATCTTCTCATCTGGGAAGAGAATGAGGTGACATTAGCAATAAAGTTAAGAAAGATAGACTTTATGAATTAAAAAGGCGCCTTTACTAAAAGGTCACCCAAGAGACATTCTAGAAGGCAAAATTGTCTTAAAACAGGTGCCAGCGAATGGCTTGAACTTGGTGTAAAATCTCCCTAGGAAGGTTTTATTTAGAACTGTGAGAATTACCGTTTTTCATTACTGGTTTTCATTTTAATTAGGAAATATTGTAAATATCCAAAAAAGAACTGACAGTTCCATAACATACCCACATTTCTACACTTAACATGTTACCTTTGTAACAGTTTTGAAGGAAATAGTACTCCAGAGACACAGGCATAAATAATAATGTCCACATGCCCCACCCAGCTGAGCCCCTTGCTGATCACACTGCCTTCCTCTCCTCACCTCTAGGCGACCTTCACCACACACTGCATCTGGCCTGTATTCCAAAACAGTATGTGGGTATGCTTGGCACATTTCAAATCCTTACGGAAATGGTCATATGGTGTATGTCTTCATGAACCTGCTTTCTTGGGTAGGCATCTTGATAATCATCTGTATTGATATTTTCACCTCAAACTAAATTTATTTATATTGAACAAATATGCTTTTGCTGTGTTGATTAGTTTTCCCAGTTTTAACCTTTCATTAGGAACAGTGCTGGTCTGGACATTCTGGTTTTTTAAGAGCTACTTTAGGCCAGTGCTTCTCAAGCACGAGCAGCCTCCCAGGCTGGCACTCTCAGCAGGTCCCCAATGGTGCTGAGGCAGCTGCTGTTCTGGGGACCACACTTTGAGAACCACTTCTCTAGTGGGGAGTAAGTACTTATCTGGGGAGTAAGTACTTATCAGGTGGCATGCATATCTTTAAGGTTACTAGATTCTGTTGCACTGTTTGCCAAGACATTTGTATCTGTTAGTAATCTCCCTGGCCATGTTTGTGTTCTGCTTACTTTATATCTTTGTCAACACCTCATAAAGTCAGATAAATTTTTGCCCAAAAAATCAGTATGAAATGACGTTGTTTTGGTTCTAAATTTGTTTTTCTTAGTTTACCTTCCTTTACCAAGTTTTAAGCTTATGGGTATTGGCCTTTGTTGATCTCTCGGATGCATGTAACTTCTCTCAATCTGGCTTAGATTGGTCTTTGCTAATTTGTAATAAGTTCCTGAGGCTGGCTTTGAACTTGTGCTCCTTCTGCCTCAGCCCCCATGAGCCACTGATTGGGATTATAGATTTGTGCCACCACACCTGGCTCTAAATCAAAATTTTAAGTGATCAGCTTTGCCATTTTTGTTTATGGTTTGTGAAAGAATGAACAAGGTTCATCATCGGAGAAAATGCCCGTTTATTGAGGAACAGCTCTGCATATTTATAGAGCCGAGGGTGGTTTGACATTTATGACAGTTTAACAGTTTAATGGTTTGACAGTTGGCAGGGGGTGCTTTCTGATTGGTGGGTAAGGATCATGTGAGTCAGCAGGGCTAGTCTGATTGGTGGGTAAGGATCATGTGAGTCAGCAGGACTCACCATTGGACGGCTCTTTTCGGGAGATGGGGAAGTTAGTCTTTGGGGCCGGGGTGACTCCCAACAGTTTGTACTTTTGTGTTTTAAGAAATTCTTCAAATTGTTTTTCACTTTGCTTGGCTCTTTGTTTACTGACTGGCATAGTCACAAGGCAGGGGTCCAACCAACGTGGACTTGCCCTGCAGCAGTGACTGCTGGCCGCCGCCCTGGGACCCTGTGTAGGGCACAGCCTTCTCTATCAGTGTCTGTAAGTTCCTGAGTCTCCCCAGGCATTCTCCAGCTCCCGCGGCCTACTATCTCGCTCCACTTCAAGACCATCCTAAGTATCATCAAGCAGCAGTTTGCAGCTGGGGACAGTTTTTGCAGCCTGTGCCCCCATACTCGGCCTCATCTTGTTGCAGCTCCAGTAAAAGTCTGTCAGAGGGGCTGGTGCAGAGCACCGTCAACTCCCTGCACTGCCTGTGATAGCCCCACACAAAGGACTTATTTGGTCCAGAGTGCCAGCGAAGGTGGAGAGGCCCTGTTTTATAGTGAGTCTAGATATTTGCTATGTGCCCCCACCTGTACCCCCACACTGGCCATTGTTCTTCAGGATCACTGTGTCCTCTGTACAGTGTTTCAAGTTCTTTGAAAAACCTTGTCGAAAATTTGGCTGGAACTGCATTAAGCTTCCGGACAGAGTCTTGGCCTCTTTGCTGGATCATAAACCTCCTGGTTTATTCCTGAGCGTGGAGGGAGTTGCCTCAGATGCTGCTGGCGCCAGGAGTGATCCCTTCCCCTGGTGGTGATGGGGAGTTTGTTTGTTGAAAATTCTGGCAGATTTTCCATGAGTTGCCTTTTATTTTCTAACAAACATAACATTGTTATCAGTAGAAATCTTTAGACTTTTCTGTACTTAAGCTTAGGTTTGCATTTGCATTCCCCAAACTCTTCTTTTGTTCCACTTGGGACTGCTCCTACCCCAGCCAGAATGCCCTGCTCCAAGTATCACCTGCAAACCAAGCGCCCAGGAAATAGAATAAGTGCTATATAGGGGCCAAGGCAACAGTGAGTGACCAAAGATGACTTAGGACGGACTTAAAACAGCATGCTATTTGGCAGAAGATGCAAGATGGTTGCCCAGTGCCAATAAAATCTACTTTTTAATTTATTAGGAACAAAAAGTACAGTGTCTTGTGTTGTGAATCTTCTCAGAGCCCATGGGCAGCATGTCATCCATGGAGGTGAACGTGGACATGCTAGAGCAGATGGATTTGATGGACATCTCTGACCAGGAGGCCCTGGATGTCTTCTTGAATTCGGGTGGAGAAGAGAACCCTGTGCTGTCCCCAGGGTTAGGTAGGATGGACATCCCCATGTAAATGACCCAGTTCTTACCAGCATCCCCTGGGCAGTCTCCCCACACCTGTGTCTGGCCTGGATGTTGGTGAGTTCTCCTCGGGGAGTTTAAATTTCTACCCCAGCACCTCAGGGAGGAGGGGGTGCATCATCTAGCCCAGAAATTGGCACTTTGAGAACTGGAATTTGGGTGTCGGGGGCTGTACTGCTCAGCTGGCACTTGGCCTCAAGGGTTGCCTTTTTAAAACTCCTTCCCAATCACATTCAGTTCAGCGGAATTTGACCATGATCTGTTTTGGCACTCTTGTCAGTATCGTAAAGACACCTGTAACCCCATGGGGCCCCTAACTCCCATCTCAAGCCTTCCCAAAATTGTTTCAGTTCATTCAACAATAATTGGCTGAGGTACTGGATCTGTACCTGGCCTCACCACACTTGAAGCTGTAGTACAATTCTTCTGGCTGGGAATTGAACTCTGGCCTCACACGTGCTGGGCAAGCCCTCTACCACAGGGCCACAGCCCAGCCCTGGCTGTATATGATGCTTCACAGGCAGCTCTTAAAATTTCACTCACAGAAGGGGAAGGCCAAGCCCCGCCCAGCCACACTGCAGCCTTCCCCAGGACATTCTGCCAGCAGCAGGGAGCCCACTTCCTCTAGCCTCTCCTCTCTGCTTGGCAAACCTGTGAAAGCACTCTTCCTGGTCCTGTCCTGAGAAGGTGGGACACTGGAAATATGAGGGGGCTGGGAGAAATTTTAGCAGCAGTATGTAAAATGTATTCCTAGAAGAGCTGCTCTCTACTCGGGAACTACCCAAAGATAATTCTCTTGGTATTCATGTTCTGGATGGCTTTAAAGGATACGTACAGAGCAAGCAACTCAGGAGGAAGGAGGGTTGGAAGTTTGAGACCAGCCTCAGTAAAACTTTATCTCAAGAAGGGCTGGGGATGCAGCTGTGGGAGAGGAGAGATGACTTACAGACTGTGTAGATTACCATGGACCCCAGCTCAGTCTTACTGGTCTGTTGTTCACTCAGACCACCAGCTGCCTCTGGCCTGCTTAGCTCAGTACGCCCAGGGTTGTTCCTGCATGGGGCTGAGCAGTCTGGCAAATTTACAGGTGTCATAAAACTTTGCTAACGGAATTTCTTTTTCCCTTTGGGTACCAGGGGGGCACTCAACAACTGAGCCACATCCCCAGTCCTATTTTTTGTATTAGAGACAGGGTCTCACCGAGTTGCTTAGCGCCTTCCTAAATTGCTGAGGCTGGCTTTGAACTGGAGATCCTCCGCCTCCCAAGCCACTGTGCCCGGCCTAACAATGTATTTTAATTTCACAGGGCCTGAAACTGACACCTGTCAGGATGAAATTACTCTTCAGGTTCCAAATGCCTCAGAGTCCCTGCCCAAGCTACCTTCCTCACCCTGTGTGTGCACAGAATCGGCCACTCTGGACCCCAGTGAAGGTGGGGAATGCCCCCTTGTCCAGTCTGATGAGGAAGAAGTTCAGGTGGACACTGCCCTGGCCACTTCCCATGCTGACAGCCAGGCCACTCCAGATGCTAGTGATGACAGTGACTCAARTCAGGAAGAGTGACTGAAGTGTCAGCCATGCACAGAACGCTCCTGTAAAGCCAGGTTTTTAATGATTTTACACAATTGCCAATGATGTGTGAGAAACTGACAGAAGAGCTGACAATAAAGTTTGAGGACTTTGAACACTGACTTGGGAGAGTAGCTGGTTTGTACAGAGGCTTCTGCCTACATAGGTCCTCAAGGCCAGCATGACAGGGGTTGCTTAGAGCACAGTGAAGGGACACCCACTGAGGCAGCCTCCCCAGAGCATGGCTGGGCCCTGGGGCTCCACAGTGGCTCAGGCCTGAATGAACATAGAAGTAGACTATGAACCTGTAAAGGGCTTGCTATTAAAGGTAAGTGGTTAGATGCAGCTGACACTCTTGGGTTCACAGCTGGCCCATCCACAACACTGGAACCTCTGGGGCAAAGGAATAGGCAGAAGCAGCCATTCTTACTCCTGCAGAGAAACTGGGGGACCAGGCTGGCTCTGACCCAGCCACTGGGCCACCAGCGCATGGAGATCAGGGAGCAACAAGACTCCCTTCCCAAGGGCAGATCAGCCTTTGCCCGTTGACCAGAAGAGAGGGAGCCCATTCCATTCACTCATCTTCCACAAGACAAATGTCCAAAAAACTTTGTTTTTATTATTAAACCTTGTAGTACAAACCTGAAAAGTAAACAAACTGGCAATAAACCACATGAAGTCTTCCCTCAAGGGAGGGGTGCAGAGCAGCGCTAATAAATTAAATGTCAAACTGTAAGCCATAGGCAGAAGTTTACTGTCAAAAAGAGGGAAAAGTACACAGCAAGGCCATAAAAACCGGACAACCACATTGGAAAACACTTGACTGTTTATGTAACTGTTAAATATTCCAAAACAGTTCAGTCTTCTGCAACAACAACCAACAAAGTGGATCCTAGGACGCTCCTGGCAGTCGCCACTGGCAAGCTCAGTGCAATATGGGCAGCTACGGGACTGATGGATCCAATTATGAAACAAAGAACAGCTTGTGAAAACAGTTTCCCTTTTTATTCCACACATACTGTACACACAACCGGAGAAGGGCAACAGCTACTCCATTATTATTTTTTTGTTGTTGTTCAGTGATGTAAGCAGCACTTATAAATGTTACAAGAAAAACCCTGTAAGCATCCAATCCAACCGATGAAGAAACTGAAATGTAAGGCTTTTCTTCATCTTGTCTTCTCACCCCTCCCCGCCCCCCAAGAAAAGGCTCAAGTATTTAAAACAATTTACAGGCATATGTACAAAAGGGATGGGATTTTTTTTTCTTTTTTTTCCTTTTTGTTACAACATGGACAGAAAAAATAGACAAGATGAGCGCAAATGCATTTTCACATTCAAAAAGAACTGCAGACCTCCTAGTGGCTCTAAATGTGATCATAAACAAATTTAAAAAAAGATTAATGCTGACTTGTGAAGGTGTGACAAGAAGCAGCGAGATGAAGATGGAATGTCAGATTGCACGTCGATGGCACAGAAGCACCTGCGGCTCCCGTCGCTTTTCCTTTTTTTCCTTAAGGATGCTATTGAAGGGTTTTTTGATAAAGTAGCCAACAGCACCAAAAAATAACAGAAAGGATTTCCTAATGAAATCAGGCACAGGTCTCCCTCAGTGACCCTCCAAGGCAGGCAGTCTTTGTCTTCGTCCTCTCTTCCTCACACGGATGCATAGTGATGTGCTGGTAACGAAAACCTAGTCGCTYGACCTCCACATTTCGCCTCTGGTTAGGAAACAACGTCCGCCTCCAGCTGCCATAACCGCCCAACAGAACAAAACGGGGCTCTCCGGTTTACAAAGTACAAACTCATCTTGCACATGACAGAAGAAAAGACAGCCAAAGTAAAGCCATTTCTTTTCAAGTTTTTTTTTGTGTGTGTGTATTTGTGTGTGTGTGTGTGTGTTTGTGTCCTATCCCTTTTCCAATCTAAAAAAACCTGCTCACATGACTGATGGTTTTAAAATTTGTTCTCCAAACTTCACCCTCTTCAAAAATGGGTTAAAAAGCCTTTTTCCCCCAACATTTAAAAAAAAAAAAAATCAAAACAAACAAGAAGGGCTTTTTTCAGCCACAGGGGCAATACAAATTAATACAGCCCCCTCAAGGGTTTTTAAAACAGTGAATATACGGCAGTTTCAAAAATCTGACTGCAGTGTCTAGGTATTCTAAGTACAAAAAAAAGTTCAACAGTTTAATGCTAAAACAAAATTAGTTCTCTAAAACCAGAAGAAAATCTTCTTTAGAGCTAGTGCAAAGACAGCTTGTATCCTACAGCAAGTACTCCAAACTAGAATATAATAATTACAAAAAAATATATATAAATTGACCATGGTGTTGGCATCTTCATGACGAGCTCGAAGCACTTTTGGATGAACCGGAGGACGCCAGCCGAGAAGGCGGCACGTCCACGGTCGCTCTCTTGCGGGGGCCTCTTTTTGGTGTGGGTTTACTGAGACAGTTCTCGATGGTGCCGTTTTTACCGGATACTTTGCCACAGATCTGATTGACCAGACTGATGATCTGCTCCTGCGGGGGTGGAAAGCAAGACAGTTAATGCAGCAGGCAATGGCCCCAAGGTCCACTCGGGTCGAGCTGAGAGAACAGCAGCTCATCACCAAACCACATCAGCATGGGTTTCTGAGTGTGGGGAAGCTCAGGGCCCCACGGGATTTTGAGGCGCAGTGGGCCTGAGAAGGAGTGGACAACATGCAGGAGACATGGCCCCAGGGGGCCTTCCTTACCAGGCTGGACCCACCTGGCTGCACCCCTCCCTAATAAATGTCTTGGGAGGACAGCATAAAATAGGCTAAAAGAACAAGTCCCATAACTGCATACAGGAAGTATATAATTAGGAAATAATTATATATTTCGGTGTTCAGATCTGTGTTCACACAACCATCTGCAAATTGATTCACCATGCGGACGGCACTGCTGGCCATGGGGCTGACCTTTTCCTGATGCCATCAGGTGGAGGAGTCATGTCATCCTACCCAGCTGACCCCCAACTCTGATTACCAGGTCACTACCCCACCCCCACCCCAAAGCAGAACTTAGGATTTGTGGCCAAGTTCTGCAGCGTTGCTTAGACACTGCAGGTTATTTAACTTGGTCTCACAAATAAATGCAGTGACTGCTGTTTACATATACATGTCTCCACTGTTAACTGTGCTGTAGGGGACACAGCAGACACCAGGGTCCTTGTACTCCCCCAAGAAACAGACCGACCATGGGCATGACTCACCCTGTAACCATCTCATTTAAAAAACACAGGAAGGAGGCACAAATGTACATTTCTCAACATCTCTCAGGGCAGTGCTGGCCTACAACCATGTGGTCCCAGGCAGGGGAGGAGGCCAGCCTGGTACACAGGGCCCACAGCCAGCCACGAGGGCTGCTCTCTGGAGAGCCCTAAGCAAGGGCCAGCCCACGTGTTTGTACACACAGCTGCCATGGCCATGTACAAAGTCCTAGGTGGACAGCAGCTTTCTGCGGAGCAGTTCCTTCATTTGAAGCTTGGAAACAGCCCAAGTAAGTGCCCTCCACCAGGCTGGAAGTCCAGGCACACAGTGGCCAGAGGACCATGAAGCTCAGCACTAACCCCCAAGAGCTGCCCAGTTCTTGAGGTGTGAGAACCAGGCGCTGCAGGACTCTTGAAAGGGTGCAAGGGCCGAGAGCTGCTGTACCTCGCAGGGAATAGAAGGGGAGACCCTCCCCAGTCAGTGGCTTCAACGGGAACGACTTATCTGTAGGGTACACAGGGATCAAAGATGAACTTCTGCTGGTCCTACAAGCTAGAGATGCCCCAATTAAAACACCTCAACTTGAGAGACCAGCTTCGTTTTCCAAGCTCCATCCACTGGCTATACCTGGGCTTGTCACATGGGCCTCTCCTCCCTCGGCAAGGGCAGGGGCAAAGCCCTGACTGCCACCCCTGCATGTGTTTTGCAGGTGTTGGCTACGACAAGGGCTGGTGGAGCAGAGTTTTTACTCATCTCCATGCGAGCTGCCAGGCGCAGTCCTCCTCAGAGAACAGGGTTTATTTTTAACCACTTTTGACATGTGCTGTCACTGTGAAGCAGTCACCGCCTTCACTGAACATGCAAACAGACCTAAGCCTGGCTCTCCAATCAATCTTAGGATTCAGCCAAATGCTCAGAAGTCTGACCTGCAACTGAGCCTGGCCAGAGGACTCAGTCCAGAACAGGTGTGAGCAACCCCTTCCATGGGGCTGGTGATGGGGTAGAAGCGGGGCTGTGCTGCTTAGTAACATCAGGGGTGCAGCAGGAAAGGGTGCCAGGGGGCAAGTGCACCGCCATGGGCGCCATCCACTGGAAGGCAGTGCCTGGAGGAGGAAGGGTACTGGACTGGCTAGGTGAGGGCAAGGGACACACTCCATACTCCAGAGGGAACTGCTGGCAGAGCTGACCCAACATCACTGGGCTGGGCCTCCGCCATCCTGCTGGCTCCCACGCTGGGAAGGCAGCAGGGACATGAAGGACTGTGAAGACCACCACCAAGCCCAGGAAGGACTTGAGAAAGGTCACAGCTCGTATGACTGGGAGCTTCAGGAAAGAGGACGCGCTGTGTGAAGAACAGAAACGAGGGAGAGAAGCAAGTGCAGACCTCCAGTGCTCTACTGGCCCTCGGGTGCAGAACCAGCCCGGCTGAGGCCTGGTGGAGAGCCCAGGAGACAAAGGCTCCCAAGTCGGCAGGGACTACCCCGGGGGAGGCAGAGGAGTCCCAGCAGCCACGAAGCCAGGTCCCAAATCTGTTCGAGGCCTCCRGGGCAGTGTTGCTGCCAGCTGCTGGAGCTAGTGGACAAGGACTCTTGGGCCTGCACACACCTGGCGCATGTCAACCCGCAGGGCTGCTGTAGAGATGGTGGGAGGGGCATTTCATGCAAACACCCTGAAACAGCCACCAGAGTCCCCAGTGCAGGCAATGGTGACCTCTAGGCACTAGATTAGCGCAAATGCCCACCAGGCAGCCTGGGAGCACATGTTCCCTTTGCTACTGTGTCACTGACATGGGCCATGGGCCTCAGAGGTAGACCCTGAAGAGTTGTGGAGGGACAGAAAGCCATTCATTTCCACGTCCCAGACACTCCAGCCAAGATAGTCTTA